AAGACGTTCTCATAAGTTTTCTCAAAACCCCGTTGATGTCTACGAGGAAACTTACGTGTTTTATGAATTTTATTGTACATTGTTTCACTACTAAAAGTTGAAGAACAACATTGCAGATTAAACATATTTTTATGTACAATTTCCTTTTATTTGTCTCTCAGATCAAACAAATTGCTTGTAAGGGTGCGTCAGCGTTGTTGAACTTTGACCTGAATAAACCGGCCTTTAACGGCGCGATCTGTGTGGCCTGAAGGAAGTTTCTGGTTGAACCGTTCTGTCATAAGAGGTCTGCACCTCGACCTCGGGTTGAATTCTGGGACTTGGCATCGACTCCGACAGCTCACATCACAAATAATGAGTGGGAGGATCCCTGGCAGACTGTTAAAATGTTGTTTTCACGTCTTAGTTTGAAGGCGAGCACAGAAGCAGGATCTGGTCTGGATTGGACTCATGACAGGTTTGTTTACGACTCAGCTGCTGTTTGAGGGACGCGAGGACGGGACCGTGTCCGGTTTTCTGTTTGAATCAAGGTTCATTTAGCGTTTTTAAACAAAAAAAAGTGGTTCACGTTTCTTTACTGTCGTTCGCATCACATGTGGCACATGAGGTGGAACGAAATTGTGTACTCAAGGTCACAGTTGCACCCAAAAATAGCACAAATAAAAAGTGTGAAAAGGATCTAAGATATACGCTGAACACTATGTAAAATAATACGGTGTATTAAACAGCAGCCTGATGCGCCTGTGGTGCTTTTACTCCCTGACATTTAACGCAGGGTGATTTGATTTAGTATTTCATTGTTTCTCATTATATTTAATGTTTTTATGCTTTTATTCATGTTGCTGTAATATGTTGTTATTAATATTTGATGCTGTGATGTTTTTTGGTAAGCACTTTGATAACAGTTACTGTTTTAAATGTGCTATATAAGTAAATGTGACTTGACTTGACAGCAGCACAAATGCAAGAGATCAGCAGCATGGATAATCAGCAGCACAGATAAGTCACAATAAAGTGATTTTTATTTATTTATTTTGTCCTTATAGTGATTATCCTGGTTAGATAATTATGAGTGGCTAGAAAAGCGGCTATCGTTTCAGAAAGTGATCATTCAGCTGAAGATCGTCCATAAAGTTTATCATGTGTTTTACAGCTTTAGCTGGTACATGGTTAGTGCAGCAGAAATGTTCCTCCCAGAAGAGCTACAGCTAGCTGCTGCCGCCGCTGTTAGCACGTAGCAGGCCCAGCACCAGCCTCAAATGCTTGTACTCATGAAAACACACAGATACTTTGAAATGATACCACTTTTATACTTGATGACATCATTTCCTCTTCACTTCAAGTAACTAAGGGGAAGTACAATGTTCGTAGTTTATTTAGAATTATTTTAAGATAAAAAGTTGATGTTAAGACAGCCGACATACTTAAAATAAAATAAATGTGTTTCTAAAGCCATTGTGTAATGCTGAGCTAACTCATTAACTACTTAGTACTCAGTGGTGGCAAGTGCCCAAAATGAAGTACTTGTACACGGTCTGGAAAAAGCTAGTATCCAGACATACTTGTGAGAGCTGAAGGTCTAGTTTCAGAAAAAAACATGATGCCTCCGATGAGAACCAGAACCATCTGAGTCCATTAAATCTGATAATACTCTTATTGCCTAAATGAACATTTATTTGTTCAAACTATAAATATGATTGTTCTTTAACTTTTGTTTGTGTCTCTATCCATCAAAGGATGTTTCAGTTTAGAAAATAAACCAAATTTCATTTGTTTTATATCAAATCTTCAACATTTAGCTGGGTTTTTTTTTTAGCCTTTACACAAAACTGCAAATCCATGTGTGTGTTGTTTTGAATGGTCTTGTTTGCTTCAACTTATGTTTGTTTTTGTTTTCTGTTTGATTTGAAGCTGTTATAAATCAGTTTACACACCGCTGTGTAGAAGGAACACCGTTTGATTGATTGGTTCAAACAACAAAAGGTTTGTCAAGCTTTTGACTTTTGTTTGTATAATTTTTGCAAATAAACAAAACAAAAATATATTATGAATACAAAAAATGGGTTTTAAAAGTTTCTATTAAACCATAAAGTGTGTGATCAGCAGCTCGCAGTCGTCAGCTGGAGGGGAACGTTTTTTGGTTTGCACCTCCGATTGAACATTTCAATGTATGCATTTATTTATTTATTTATTTATTTATTTATTTATTTATTTATTTATATTCATGAATACTTTTTTTCCTCCCACAACTCTGAGAAACTTAGAACACAAGAAAAATCAAAAGGAAAAATACACAAATTGTAATTACACATTTAAACACACACACACACACACAAATAAAATTATTTTATAAATTATATTTTAGATTAAACATTTTTTCCTGCTCAAACAGTAAAACAAAAGCAAAAAAAAAAAAAAACATAAATCATTACTGTATTAATATATGATGTTTATTCAAACACAAAAAAATAAATAAATAAACCATGTATTGTAAATAATAGAATTTTTTTTTTAACTTTTTTTTTTTTTGAAAAAATAATTAAAATTATAATGAAAAAAATGTTTTTTTAAAACACAGACCACAAAACCGGGACAAATTGAATCGACAACAATCTGACAAATAAATAACAAAAAAACACTTTTATTTATTACTTTATTTTTATTGGGAGTGATTCTTATATTCACATGAGATGTAAAAAAAAAAAAAAAAAAAAAAAAACCTATTTTAAGATATTGAACATTTTAAACATTTGCCTGAGAACGAATGAATGAATTCACAAATAAATAAACACTTTTTACCTGATTAAAAAGTTGATGCTCTTCATTACATCTATTTATTTTTACATTTTCCAGCCTTCGATTGTTTCACTCTAATAATAATATTGTATTTTATTTAAATGTTGGACTTTATGTTTTTCTGTCATCTGTGTGTTTAAATATAAAAAGTTTCGTCCACACAGTTCACGGATTAAATTATCTGTTAGTCTCAAAGTACACAAAGTGAAATAATTAATTAAAACTCATTAAAATAAGGAGGAAGTACGGTAAGCCCTTTGGGACAATCTTCATCGCATTTTATTGCTTTAAACCTGCTTCTTTTTGACCGTTTAAAAACAAGAAGCATTAATCAAGGTGTTTATTTCTTTCATTCTTAAAAAAAAAAAAAAAAAAAACTCGTGAGAAACTCCCAACATCTGGAACAAAAACATCTGAAAAACTGCATCTGGATTTTGACTAAATAAAAGAAGTAAAGAGAACGAGTCTGAGACGAGGGTTCGTGTCGGTGCTGTCCGTTGGAGCCGGTGCTCTGTCCGAGGATGGAAACAGGAAGTGTGAACCGGAGCGGAGTCTTCCTCATCTTTGAAAGTCAGATTTAAACAGCCCTCGTGTCATGAGAAAAGTGATTAAAAACATCTTTTCTCTGACCATCATGGCTCCATAAAGGTTTTAAAATAGAAGCGAGGACTCATCTCAAAGGAGGTGTTCGTTTTTCCGTGAGAAAAATATCCAAACTGTCCAGCCTCAGTCAGACCAACATGGCTGCTGCTGCTAAACCAAAAGTCTGATCCGAGTCATGTCCATCCACGCAGGAACACGGATGGACAGCTGGACAAAAGAGAGGACAGTTTGACAAGTGACCGGGAAAAAGACACCTGTCTTGTTTCTCTCAGGACAGCAGTGGACATTGGTTTGTCTTCCGGTTGTCCTTAAGTTAAAACCTTTCCATTAAATCCAATATTTTTCAGTCAGGTCATCTGGACAGTTTCTTTTGTTGTGCTGAAACGTTTCACCTTCGATCCAGAAGGCTTCATCAGTCAAGGAGACACACAACACAAAACTGATTCTTCTCCCAGCAGCTTACTCCAGTGGAACAAACCAGTTGTGTTGGTGCTAAGATGGTGTCTTTGGCACGCCCCCTCACAAGACCGGCCCTCTTCCTTGTTTGATTTTTTTTTTTGTTCCACAAACATAACTGGTTTGTTCCACTTTGGAGTAAGCTGTTGGTGGAAGAATCAGTTTTGTGTTGTGTGTTTCCTTGACTGATGAAGCCTTCTGGATCGAAGGTGAAACGTTTCAGAAAAAAAAAAAAGAAACTGTCCAGATGACCTGACTGAAAAATATTGGATTGTACACCTGGATTATTGAGAATGGACTTTGTTCTTTAGATTTATTCTGTTTATTTTATCCATCCAAGTTTTACAAAGAGCAGGGGTGTAGCTAAGAGTTTCAGGGTCCGGGGGTCCATCTATGTAAAAGGGACACTTCAGGTCGTTTGAAGTGGAGTTCTGCAGAAAGTTTATTTTTCACTGCAGCCGAGTGTTTACAACCAAATGACCAGTGAGCCGCGCAGCCACGATCGACGGCCTAATTTTAAAAAACTCCCGGCTTCTTGTGTTCACGACTTGCAATACTCTATTTGCTTTGTTGTGGCCCACAGCTTCCAAACATTATGACCTCATTTACATTTTTGGAAGGAAGACGTGTTTTGATCTGAATGCCTCAACATTACAATCCAGCATGTTCCTCTGTGAGTTAAAACATCTTAAAACAAAAGACTCAAGCCCATGAAGGTTTGACTTATTATTACCAATTTCTGGCTAAACGCAGATAACACTGTTAATATTATAAAAGAGGTCCTTCATTTGGCTAGCCATTAGCCTAGCCTGGACAATGTCCCCCCCATTTTTCCAAATCCCAAACAGATGTGACGTGATAAGGTTTTATTTGGAACAACACTTCAAAAATCTTCAGACTATCCCTTTAATTGCTAAACTAACACGACACACACACAAAAAAAAGTTCAAAGTTAAACCATGGCAGCCATTGACATTAACTCCGCCCTCCACGTCCCCCATAAACTGACCAATCAGACGCCGTCAGTCCCACACAAGCCGACCAATCAGACCCCGCTAGTCTCTCACAAGACGACCAATCAGAAGCCGTTCCACCGCCGGTCTTCCGGGTCGTTGAACTGCTGCGCAGCGGGAGTCCCTCAGTCTGAGTCGGGGAGCGATGGTGGTCGGAGCGGAGCGTCCGGAGAGGGTTCGGTGTTTCTGGACTCTGAGCCGGAGCGGATGAGATGCCCGGGACCATGACGAGCAAAGCGGACGGGCCGGGGCGGAGCGCGTGCTTCACGTTCACCATCGACAGCATCCTGAGCCTGAGGCAGCGGGACGGCGGAGACTCGGACGGGTCGAAGAGTGATTTCCAAGCGGGATACGAGGAGCCGTGGGACGTCCGGAGGGAGCGAGGCAGCCGGTGTGAGGCGACAGGTAACTCCGCGGGTCTTCTACCTTTTATTTTGTTTTAAAGTTTTACAGTCGGAGAAGGAGCTGAAAATGAAGCCCACTTTGTCGCCTCCGTCCACAGCCGGAGCGTCCTCCCCCGCGGGGCGAAGCCCGGGCTCGGAGGAGGAGGAGGCGGCGGCCACCCGGGAGCCCAAAGCCCCCGGGAAGAAGAAGACCCGCACCATCTTCTCCAAGCGGCAGATCTTCCAGCTGGAGTCCACCTTCGACATGAAGCGCTACCTGAGCAGCTCGGAGAGAGCCTGCCTCGCCAGCTCCCTGCAGCTCACCGAGACCCAGGTGAAGATCTGGTTCCAGAACCGCCGCAACAAGCTGAAGCGGCAGCTGGCCACGGACCTGGTGGCCGCGGAGCAGCTGTCCGAGGCGGGCAAGCCCGGCCAGCTGGCGGGCTTCTACAAGGACCGCGGCGGGCTGCTGGGGGGCTGCGTGCTGCCTGTCCCGGTCCTCTACCCCCCCTCGAACTCTGCTCCTTACCTCTACTTCAGCTCCAAATACTTCACCCTGTTCGACACGGACTGAGGACCACCTCACCTTTTCATTTTGATTTTGTACTATACTTTAAAAACTTTGTCAAATATTAGTCTGGATGCATGTGTCACTTTTCTGTTCCCCTCCAAATTATTATCAGGCCCAAGTGGTGCCAAGGCCTTTTTATTATTATTATTATTATTATTATTGTTATTATTATTATTGTTATTATTATTATTATTAATATTATTGTTGGGGACATAGGCAGTCACCTGTTATTATCCACCTGACAAAGGGTTTCTTAACTTTATATCTTACTCGTCTGTCAACGTTAATGCAGCCCGAACTATTATCCCCCCCCACAAATATCAAAACGATGAGCCATGTGCTGTTACTTTTATTGGTGTTTCAAGTTGCCATGGCAACATAATTGACAAACAAGGACCCATTTTTATTTGTTGTTTTTCGTAGACTCTGGTTGCAAATCAAATATCCAACATGGCCACCTGAGCTAAAAAGGAAAAATACTGTAAATCAAACATTTATAGAAGCTGAAATTTGGTGTGGTGGCATCTGAGAGCAATGTCCAATAGATAACGATTTTTTTTTAATCAAGATGGCCGCCAAAGCTACAATTAAATGGCTTTAACTCAGCTATTTTTACACATACAGCGCTGAAATTTAGTGTGGTTATAGCTGAGAACGTTCCCCGTCACATACTGAATCTATATAAAAAAATCCAAGATGGCCGTCTTAGCTTAAAAGAAAAAAAAAATGACTAACTCGATGATTTTTTTTGCCATTTTGAGCTGAAATTTGTGGTGATAGTGCTGTCAAATTAAAAATGGAAGCCGCATGGCCGTCCCCGTTAAAATGTCTCCAGGATGTTTTAAGTTATTAATATTGTTATAATTATTTTTATTATTATTGAATAGGGTAACAAATATAGTTTTTCATGGTTCTGAGCAGTTCTTAATGTCATCTGAATGAATGTATCAGCTTTGTTACCCCGCAATAATCCGTGTAAAGACTTCTCTGTATTTATATATGGCCTTAATATTATTATTATTATTGTTGTGGTTGTTTATTAATAAATGTTTGTTTCACTTTTATAATACGGTCAAACTGTGAATGCAGCTCCATTAATACATTTGCAATAAAAACATATTTGCAATTTTTACCAAAAGAAAACGGACACGCTGAAACTTATTTAATATTTAATGTTTATTTAAACTGTTTGTTTTATGTAGAAGCTCATTTGTTTGACTTTAAATAACTTGTTTTTTTAAACTTGAATACACAGTTTGAACTTTAATCAAGCGCATTTATTTAAATATTTTTCTGGTAAAAAGTTTTTTTTGTTTTTTTTTTCCTTCATGAACAATATAATTATTTGTTCTGAACTTATTGTTTACATCCACTGTTAAGTGTTTAGTTTATTACTGGGATGAAATTATTTCTGCAAACGTGTGAGAGTTTAATTAATTTTGAACACTTTGGTTGTTAAGAACATTTATAAAGTTTAAATCTAAACTCTAAAAATCAACCAAAACCAGACATTCTTCAAGGAATAATATTAATAATCACTAAATAGCTGTTGGTTAAATGTAGTAAATAACTTTTGAAGTATTAGTCGAGTTATTTAAGGCATGGTTTTTATCGTTTTAGATTTTATTTTTTTAACCATTTAAATTCATTTGACAGGGAAACAGATTTGTGAGAAAGTTTTCAAGTGTTTTTTTTTTTTTCACAATTTAAAAATGTTTTTAAAATGAGCCTGTTTCCACAAAATTGTTTTAATTTTTTCTGAATCGATTTATGCTAAAGATTCAAAACTGCTGATCGGCTGCCAACCGGAGGAACGTTAAGTCGTTTCAATTGGGTTCACTCTTCTCTTTTAATCTTTAAGCAAAGTTTGATTTCTTAGTTTTAAGGCCTGATTACCAGTTTGGGATGAAAAGGGCCTCGTTTTAAACTTACTGGTTCTCCGTTTTGAACTTTAACGCTGAGGAACAGCTGCAGTTTTCTGTTTTCACACCACTTTTTGGATTAGCCTCAGATTTTCTTTCTTAAAAAGCCCGGCGAGCTGCACTTCTGCGTTTCTGGGTCACTTCCCCCTTCAGTGCTGGAGCCCCTCTCTTTCTTTCTGTGCGTCTGTCTCGGCCGTTCAAGGCCCGTCAACCCGTTCACTCACCCGCCTCTGTGCGTTCTGCTGGTCCAAACGGCCAGTTTGGACCCAAACTGGGTTGAATTATCTTCTGCAGAAAAATGGAACAAGCTAAAATAAACTAAAGTTTTTTTTAAACCAAACCAGCGGGATCAAAGTTAGTGTCCAACCGGACCGATAATACATTTATTAAACGCAACAGAACAACTTTCAGCCCCGTTTCTATGATTTGATGTAATACAACACGATGCTGTAGAATAAAATGTAATACGGGACTTTTAGGGGGCCGTAGTTACTGAAAGCAGCTCAGGGACCGGACATCGGTAAATTATTCTCATTACATTAATTTATGATTTAAACTCTAGTTTTATTTTAAATTAATTCATCAGTTGGTCAGCTCGAGCTCAGCCGCAGGCCAGATGTGGCCCCCAGGCCACCAGTTGAATAGCCCTGATGTAATTATTTTTTTTATATGATACTGTATGATACAATACTAAACAGTGACATCTAAAACAGTACAAAATACTTTGTTTTCTGCTCAGGTTAATGTGTTTTAGACTCCATGCTGTCACTAAAGAGTCTTTAAAGGAGTCGCTGAATGAAACAGACTCTTAGTGAACTTCTGGTTGTTTGTCTCTTTGTGTCCCTGCAATGGACTTGTGACCTGTCAAGGATGTCCTCCACCTCTCACACAGTGATGGATGGATGATGGATGGATGGTTGATAGATGGATGGAAGGATGGTTAGATGGGCAGTTGGATGGTTGGATAGATGGTTGGATAGGTGGACGGATGGATGGATGGATGGATGGATGGCTGGCTGATAGTTGAATGGATGGACATATGGCTGATAGTTGGATGGATGGTTGGATGGGTAGTTGGTTGGATGGATAGATGGCTAGATTGATGGATCAATGGATGAATGGTTAGATTGATGGATGGTTGACAGATGGATGGAAGGATGGTTAGATGGGTGGTTGGATGGATGGTTGGATATATGGTTGGATGGAAGGATGAATGGTTAGATGGATGGATGGATGGATGACAGATGGCTGATAGTTGGATGGATGGTTGGATGGGTAGTTGGTTGGATGGATGGATGGACAGTTGGCTAGATTGATGAATGGTTAGATGGATGGATGGATGGATGGACAGTTGGCTAGATTGATGGATCAATGGATGAATGGTTAGATGGATGGACGGATGACTGATAGTTGGATGGATGGTTGGATGGGTAGTTGGTTGGATGGATGGACGGCTGGATAGACAGTTGGCTAGATTGATGAATGGTTAGATGGATGGATGGATGGATGGATGGATGGATGGATGGATGGATGGATGGACAGATGGCTGATAGTTGGATGGATGGTTGGACGGCTGGATGGACAGTTGGCTAGATTGATGAATGGTTAGATGGATGGATGGATGGATGGAAGGATGGACAGATGGCTGATAGTTGGATGGATGAACGGACAGTGACTGTTTTTCTTTAGAAGTACTATCATGTGTAAATAAAACAACTAAAGTACACGTGTGTACATGAGAAGATGAGTCTCTAACTTTTTGTCAAACAACCAACAACAAATCTCCTGAAATTCTGTTCTTGCTTTTGGTTTCGGTGCCACCCATAGATTTTCAGTGGCCCCCACATGGGCCCCCATCAAAACGTGTATGGAGGCACCACTGGGCTGATTTACCGTAAGTGAAAATAATTTACACTGAAAATAAAAAATAAAAAAATGCCATGTTTTTATACATAAACTTGTTAAATATGAGTTCTGCTGCAGATGTTTTACATTTAATTGACTAGATTGTAGATTTTAACTTGCTCCAACAAGCAGTGCATATTTTGTAATATTTATAACATGAACTAAACTACAAAAAAAAAAAAAAAATACAGCTTTAAAGTTTATTTAAGATCAACTTTGACAATTTTACTCTAAATCTTTAACTTGCATTCAAAGTTTACCCTGTAATCATATACGGTCAGTCAGAAAACAGCTGTAAATCTATTTTACTGTAACAGTTTTTTACATTTGTTGATTTTTTTTTAATTTATGTAAAATTACTTTAAACTAGAGAAAATGCATTTCTTTCGAAAATGCAGTGTGAATGCTTATTGCTGAAGAACTTGCTGAAAACAGCTGAAATTAGCTAAAAAAACATGCTGAAATGTGGCTGAAATTGAAGAACAAGGCCAAGTTAGTAGAAGAAAGCAGAAAGAACACACATTTGCTGAGTTAGGTTTAAATGAGCAGAAATGAACACAAAAATTAGGAAATTAGCTAAAAATAGTTTAAATTAGCAAAAACAGCTGAAAGGTAGCTGAAGGAACAGAAAGAAGCTTAAACTACCAGAAGGAAGTGGAAATGGCTGAAATGAGCTAAAAAAAAGTGGAATTAGGTGAAAAAGCTAAATTTAGCACGAAAATAGCTAAAATAAATCAAACAAAGAAGGCTGAAATAGCAGAAAAAGTTGAAAGGAGCATAACAAACTGAAATGAGCATAAATAAGTTAATTAGGCTAAAATTAGCAGTAGCTAATTACCACAAATATTTTGAATTTATCTGAAAACAGCTGAAATTTGCTAAAATGCTAAAAAAAATGTAGCTGAAATGTAGAACAAGCTTAAATTAGCAGAAGAAAGCAGAAAGAACATGTTTGCTGAAAGAAGCAGAAATAAGCTCAAAAAGTGAAAATTATATGAAAAAATCTTAAATTAGCAAAACAGCTGAAAAGTAGCTAAAAGGTAGAACAAAGGTTTAAAGAAGGAAGTGGAGAGAGCACAATTTTGCTGAATTAGGCTGAAAAAAGTTTAAATGCCTGCAAAAAATGTAGAATTAGCTGAAAAGCTAAATTTGCATAAAAACAGCTTAAAAAAGCTGAAATAGCAGAAAAAGCTGAAACTTGCAGAAATAAGCTGAAAGAATTACAACAAGCTGAACTTTGCAGTAAGAAGTTAGAAGAAGCACAAAAATGTACAGGAGTTAGCAGAAAGAAGCTGAAAG